GATCTCACCTAGAGTATTGTGTTCAGTTCTATAGAGCAGATCTCTAGGAGGATATAGAGAGGTAGTGATAGTACTTTATAGATCCCCGGTAAGATCTCACCTAGAGTATTGTGTTCAGTTCTATAGAGCAGATCTCTAGGAGGATATAGAGAGGTAGTGATAGTACTTTATAGATCCCTGGTAAGATCTCACCTAGAGTATTGTGTTCAGTTCTATAGAGCAGATCTCCAGGAGGATATAGAGAGGTAGTGATAATACTTTATAGATCCCCGGTAAGATTCAGAATCAAACACACTTGCAACTCAAAAATGCACCTGCACTCTCACACTACACACAGTCCCGCTTCATTCACACACAGTAATACTACATACAAATGTCAAGTTGGTGACCCACAAAATAAAGGTTACATCTAATTCAGCCACCCCGGAAGGGCTGCAGAAAATCAAGGAATGGGCTGAGTTATGTATAAATCTTTTAGATAGATGTGAAATATAGAATATCACCCATAATTATAGAGGAACCAGTCTTTTGCATGCTGAGGTTATCTCCTTTTTGTTTTGTGTTTCGGGGGTTACTTGTTTTTTATTGTTCTTTGAGTTAAAACTATTTGACACAAACCAGAAGGACAGCACCCATGGCCTTCTTGTACCATAAGAACTACAATAAGCATTAGTGGCTATGGTGTTTCGACGTTTATAATTTCACAATTGCAGGAAGATGCCAACACACAGATCTGTCCAAGCTGCCAATCCCCCAGGTATGCCTCTGTTCCCCACACAGTCCCTGTTAACAATCACACACAGGACTTCTCTAGTCTAACCTCCTCCTGCCCAAGACACATTAATATTGGCTACTATAATATTCTGTTGGACAGCATTGATAACTGTGTGTATTTCTAATCTTCCAATTCCAATCGTGGTCAATTAAAACAATATATTTACTGTATTAAAAGTCACTTCTCTGGAATTACACCATTGAATAAAATACTGAAAATGACCTATTACCTATGTTAACCATTTTGTTTCATGGAAGGCTCGGCTTTCTTTCAAAAGTATATTAACGTGCTTCATACTGGATATGAACGACTATTTTGACATTGAACATTATGACCATACTAAAGGGTGGTTTTAAAACATCTTGGGATCTACTTTTTGGGCTTGGTGAAATAAACACCACCGAGCTCAGTGGTTCCAAAACCAGTCCTCCTGGCCCACCAACATTCCAGGATTTATGTATTTCTCTTTTCTATTCCAATAGAGATACAGAGAAAACGTGGACTGTTGGTGGGTCCTGAGGGCTGGTTTGGGTACCACTGTCCTAGCTGATTGACAGCTGATTGACAGCTGGGAAAGTATAGCAGGACTGAAATATAAAACTTGTCACTTTTATAAAAGGATGGGGCACCACTCTTCAAAACACATAAAGCACTTTAGCTTTCTGAAGTGTGGACAGCGTTCCTTTTACATATTTGATTGTCAAAATTTGTCATAAAACCACAAGTCGGAACCCTTCTCACGAACAAATTTAAATATAGGTTATTACATAATTGCTTCAACACAAAGTTTCACAACTGTCCCATAAACAGTAGACTTCAGTATGTTGCTTGCAAATGAAAACCAGAACGTTACCACACTATGTAGGTTGGCTTTCATGTCCGTTCAGTTTGGTATATACTATTACTAATATAATTAAAATGGTCATCCTGGAATTCCGAGGTCTGTATCGGACGTGTCAGATCACTTCCCCCTTTGTTTCTTATTTGGTCCTGACCAGTTGCAGGAGTGACCGTCACAGCAATTAAGATAGAACTGATTACAACATACATAGACCAGAATTTATGACATCCATCTCCATTCCACTGTGTTTACTGATCACCTTATTATCACGTTTGTTCTCCTCAGCAGGGCCGTCTTTACCGCGGGGCAAACGGGGCAGCTGCCCCGGGCCCAGTTACTCTTGGGGGCCCGAAGCAGCTGCACCGTGGGCCCCGCTGACCTCAAGCATTTTTCCCAACTGCCGGTGCAGCCACGCACCCGGTGGGCTTCTGTCAGCAGGGGCCCGGTCTTGCGCTCTGGCGCTTTAAGAGCGCGACCAGGCCCTCTTGCTTTTCGGCAGCCGGCTAGGAGGAAGTGACGGCTGCACGTCACTTCCTCCCATAGAGAGAGGAGCGCGCGGGAGGAGGAAGAGGCAGAGCGGTGGGGGTCTGGGCCGAGCTAGCCAGACCCCAACTCCCAGCAGCTTCAGCCACGGGTAGGAAAGTCACCCTCCAACGTAGAAAGGGTGGGTTTAATAGTGTAAATTTTGCATGTGTATCTGTGAATGTGTCAGTATGTCTGTCAGTGTATGTGTCAGTATGTCTGTCAGTGTGTGTGTCAGTATGTCTGTCAGTGTATGTGTCAGTATGTCTGTCAGTGTATGTGTCAGTATGTCTGTCAGTGTGTGTGTCAGTATGTCTGTCAGTGCGTGTGTGTGTCAGTATGTCTGTCAGTGTATGTGTCAGTATGTCTGTCAGTGCGTGTGTGTGTCAGTATGTCTGTCAGTGTGTGTGTGTGTCAGTATGTCTGTCAGTGCGTGTGTGTGTTAGTATGTCTGTCAGTGTATGTGTCAGTATGTCTGTCAGTGTATGTGTCAGTATGTCTGTCAGTGCGTGTGTGTGTCAGTATGCCTGTGTGTGTGTCTGTGAATGTGTGTCAATATGTCTGTCAGTATATGTGTGTGTGTGTCAGCATGTCTGTTAGTGTATGTGTCTCTGTGTGTCCATATGTATGTCAGTGTGTGCATGTCTGTATGTCGGTGTGTGCATGTCTGTATCAGTTTGACTCTTTGTGTCTGTATGTCGGTGTGTGTGTTGGTGAATGGGTCAGCATGTCTGTCAGTGTGTCAGTATGTCTGTGTGTGTCTCAGTATATATCTGTCTGTCTATGTGTCAGTATGTCTGTCAGTTTATGTGTCTGTGTAAGTATGTCTATCAGTGTATGTTTGTGTGTCAGTTTGTCTGTATATCTGTGTGTGTATCTATATGTTGTCATTTTTTGTATCTGTGTGTTTGTCAGTGTGTACATATGTGTGTGTATCTGTATGAAGTCTGTGTGTGTGTGTGTCAGTGTGTATCTGTACGTTGTCTTTGTGTGTTTCAGTGTATCTGTATGTTATGTTATTAGTATGTGTGTCAGGTTGTGTATTTGTGTGTCAGGTTGTGTGCATATCTACCTGTGTGTTTGTGTGTGTATATGTGCATACATCTCAACATTCACACGCTAACACTACACACAAATACACCCCTGCATTCAAGCTTCAGCACAACATACAAATACACGTCTGTGTTAAACACCAACATTATATGTATACACACCCCTGCATTCAAAAACCAACACTACACATAAATACATGCTTACATTCAAACGCCAATGCCACATACAAACATATTCCATACAAAAACCTGTTTACATTGAAACACACAAAAACAGCTTAGTGCTAAATACAAACCTGCAAATATGGATAAATGGTAGAGCCTCAGCTGTCAAGGCATTGCTGGAGTTGCACAACAGATGGGGATCTACCTTTTAAACATCCTTGCAATAGGGAGGCCCAAAAAAAATATTCTTGCACCTCTCTACTTTAGGTAGCCACTGCGTTAAGGGTGATAACGTGTTTGCACGCCTGGGGAGGGTGTACATGGTCCAGGGGGCCCAAGCAAATGTTTTGCCCAGGGTCCAATCAATATTAAAGACGGCCCTGCTCCTCAGTGCCATTGATATCATTTTTTGTGTCTTTGGCTGAGGAGATGGTGGTGTCCCCCAGGGGAGCATGAAGGTAGGTGCCTGCTTAAATGAGCTTCATCGTTCACATGCAACATATCAAGCTGAAAGTTTTAACAATTTTTATATTTTTCCATTTCAAACACCTCCTGTCGTGTGAACATGGACCTCCATATTGCCTTAGAAATACATACTGTGAACCATGAGCTTGATACATTGTAACATAGAACAAATATTTGGAGAAGATGATTTTGGAATACAGTGCATAATTGGTCACCGAAAGATGTCGCCTGCATATGAACAGGGAAGCAAATGTGAGAATTTTTATTTATTTTATTACTAAAATTTAATATATCAAGTGTTTCTCAAAGCAACCGTATGCTATCATTTGCATTGCACTGGGGCATAGTATCTTCACCTTCCCGGAATACAGTGATATTGTTCTCCTCAAGAGTTTTTTATAGGTATCGGGCAGCTAGGAGATAATGACCTGCGTTGTACCTGTGTAAAACCGGTTTGGTAATGAGAGTTTAGTAGTAAGTATCACCATCCGCCTATGGTGGTAGAGTGAGGCAGAATGTGACTTTAAATCTTTGCGGTCTTCTTACCGTCAAACTGCATAATGTTAAAAGAAGCAGGGAAAGAGACTGTAGCACAGTGAAACTGCTATTCTCCTGCCCCATAGACCATAAGGACAACACATCCCTCCGGGCACTTCCTCCTCAGTGCGTGCGTTTGAGTCTGAGAGGTTCTATAATTAGGAGTGGTTCTTGCAGACACATATAATAACATACAAAATGTATGTACATGCATACATATGGCATCCATGCATCTACTTTCACACACATTGCATGTAGTGCACAACCCAAAAGCATGCACAGATGTACACTGTCAAACAAACACGGATAATCATGGACACAGCTACAGAGTGTAAGATACCAAGACCCACAAATACTGTGAAACATACAGATACACGTGTG